TGCATGCAGGCTGCGATCATTTGGCGCTATCGGCTTCTCGGGGCGTTTCACTGGGTCCTGGGTCCTGGAACCTGTGAAAGAGCCGTTCAGGATGAAGATTTGGTCCTGGGGTCTGCAGGGGATTCTTTGGGCTCCGCGGCTTTCCGTCAGGGCCCGTTTCTTTCATGGTTCGAAAACGATCGAGGTTCGGGCGCCACTCATGTCCTATTTTCTTTCTCAGAGTGACCCTCCGATGTGATGGTCTGTTGTCGACCTGTTGTGCCATGATGCGTTCTGCTATGGCGTGCTATGGTATGTCATTGCATGCGATGCTTGTTATGTCATGTTCTGCTTTTAGTGTCATATCATGTTAAGCCATGTTACGTTATGATGACGGTGGTGGCGATGATGATGCTGATGCTGGTGATGATGGTGCTGTCGGAAAACTGTTCGATGATGTCTTCAGCGAGGCGCGGGTTTCAACACCCCCAAAGGAGAACCGGTACAGGGTATTGCACTCCTCCGCTCGCGCCAAAAATGGCGGGGATGTCTCGAGCGGAGTGCCTGTTTTTGGTCCCCGACGTCTTCCGCTGTCGGAGCTGATTCGGGGGATGTCCCTACTGAAGCGCGGGCGTCAGCATTCCCGAGGGGGACCGCCAGGGGGTGTCGCATTCCGTTCGCGCCAAAATGGCGGGGATGTCTCGGGCGGGGTGCTTGTTTTGGTTCCTGACGTCACCCGCTTTCGGAGCATAGTTGCAGGATGTCTCGGGCGAGGCGGTGGTTTTCGCACCCTTGGCGGCCCAGATTGCGAGGATGTCCCGAGCGGTTTGCTAATTCTGCTGGCCAGACTCGTGGGCATGGTTTTTCTTCAGGATGCCACGGGAGGCCCCGCCAAGTCCCATCCCAGGAGGGCCCGCGAGGCCACAGGAGGTCCCAGGAGGCACAAGGAGGCCACAGGAGGAGAAGGACGCCACAGGAAATAGCAGGAGGCGCCAGGAGGCGACAGGAGGCCACAGGAAACATCAGGAGGCACCGGGGTGCCCCGGAAAGCCCCAGGACCCCCCACGGGGTTCCGGGAGCAGGAGGCCCCAAAAACCCTCAAGATTGGTTCCAATCCCTTGTTGTTTGACGTATGCTCCCATAGATGGGGGTTCTCCTAAAACGCGAATTCTCTGTGTTTTACGTCAATTCCCATAGATTGTCTTCTTTTCCGCGTGTCCATTCTTCAGTGTTATATGTATGTTCCTACAGACTGGGCCTCCGTTGGGGCACAGGTTCTTGGTGTTTTACGCGTGTTCCTACAGATTGCCTTTTTCCTGCGGTTTCAACCCGAAGTATTGTGCGGTTCTTCTGGGGTACGGCTTCTCCCCAGGAGGGCCAAGGAGGCACCTGGAGGCTCCTGGAGGCCCCAGGAAACCACGCGAGGCCCCAGGAGGCTTCAGGAGGCCCCAGGAAGCCCCCAGAGGCCCCAGGAGGCCCCGAGACGGTCCGGGATGCCCCGAGAGGTTCCGGTGGCTTCCTCGGTGTCCTTTGCATCAGCGTGGTGGCCACACGGGGCCCGTCGGGGGTCCGAGGGAGGCTGCCGGAGGAGGCGCGCGCGGGCCCATGCTCGCGGGCCACCCGGGAACGTCGCCAGAAAAGGAAGTCCAACAGTTCACATATCTGTTTCTGTGCAAAACAAACTGTAAAACAAATTGGATGAGTCGTTGGATTGGACATTGCGTTGGGTTTTTGGCTGAGTTGTTTCTGATACGGTTTTGGATGTTTGGTTGGCTGGCCTTCTGGGGCAAGTTTTTAAATGGAACCTGCCCCTCCCCAGGGGAGGTTTTTGGATGAAATCCGATGGCCCAGGGGGGCAGCTTTTGGGGGGCGCCCCCAGGCGCAGTTTTTGGGTGCCCCCTGTTGCGTGTGAGGGGGCCTCCCTGCGCGGTTACTTCTGACCATCTTGCACCTGCTGCTGTCGGCGTCACCCCAACATACTTATACTATATGTGCGTCGCCCCCCTGGGGGCGACGCGCGCACCGAGAAATCTTATAGTATATGCGTCGTGGCGGGCGCTTTCTGGCCACACCGCTCGGGAAACAATATACTACAAGATGGGTATACTACATGCTCGGGTCGGACGCGCGCCTCCAAGGATAACATCTAGTACTAGCACGTCTTTGTGCATCCCATGCTGCCGTTTTCCCCCGCCCCTGCCCGAAACGGGGGGCGCCGGAAGCGTCCCGAACGGCCGCCAGAGGCCCGACCTCTGGCCCGAGAGTCACGCCGAGGGGGCGGAGGAGCGAGGCCGGTGTGGGCCTCGACAGGCTTTCCGGGGGGGAGGAGGCCGACCAGGGTCCCCGGAGGTCTCGGGGGGGTCTCCCAGGGGCCCCGAGGTCCGCGGAGGCCCTTGGACCCCCTGAGGTGCCACGCCGTATGGTGCTCCCGCTCAGGACGTGTGGTGCTCCCGCTGCAGCGCTGGTCCGTGACAGGATTGGCGCTTCGCTCCCGTCGGTCAGAATTGTCACTCCAGCGCGGGCCCCAGCTCTGGAGTCCGCTCTCTTGCTCGCCGCTATTGCCCCCACTTTTCCGCCTCCTTCCCTGGTCATCTCAGTATGTCTCCTCTCCTCCTTCTGCTGCTGGTCATCCTCCGCTATCTCATCCTTCACATCCTTCTCGTCTGCTGCCACTGTCTGATCAGCCACCTCCTCCTCCACCAGTGGGCGCAGATCTCCCTTCCGACTGCGTACCACCTGATGGGGCCATTTGGGGGATCCAGGTTCGCCAGGACACCCGCCGACCGATAATCAGCATCTGTGAGAAGGGATGGGTGAGAGGTGTCGGGCGTCATATATGGCGCGAGCGCGCCTCGCTTTCCCTCCCCTCCCCTCCTCCCCCGTTCTCTTCTCCCTCCGCTGCCCTCCTCCTCCTCCTCCTCCTCCTCCTCCTCCTCCTCCTCCTCCCTCCTCCTCCTCCTCCCCCTCCTCCCCCCTCCTCCCTCCTCCTCCTCCTCCTCGTCCTCCTCCTCCTCCCACTCTTCGCTCTCCTCCCTCACTCCTGCTGCCGCTCCTCTCCTTCCCTCCCCTTCCCGGGGCCGCGAGACCGCCCTCCTCGTCCTCCTCCCCCTCCCCCTCCCCCTCCTCCTCGTCCTCCTCGTCCTCCTCCTCCTCCTCCTCTCTCACCCCCTTCCCATCGTTCTCTCCACCCTCCGCTGCCGTCTTCCTCAAGCATTTCTCGATATGGATACTTTCTTCTTTCCCCCGAAGTTGTTCGGTTCGTGGCTCCGCCCTCTCCGCGTATAGTTGTCACACGCACAGGATTTCATCAGTTGGTCTTTCCTATGCTTTTTGCCATCCGAATTATGGTTGTCAACAACGGTGCGTTCGCTGCTGAGTGGGCCTCGGTGTCGGATCGGTGCTCGGCTCCCGTCGTTCGCAATGGCGCTCTCGCTCCAGCGTGGGCCACTTTCCCGGATCCAGGTGTCACTTTCCCGGATCCAGGTGTCGCAGGCCTCGCGGGTCTCACAGGTCCCACAGGGCCACAGGTCCGACACGCCCCGCAGGTTCCACGCGTCTCCCAGGATTCGCAGGTCTCGCAGGCTTCACAGAGGCACCCCTGAGTCCCACAGGTCCCACAGGTCCCGCGGGAGCCACAGGTCCCGCAGGTCGCGCAGGTCTCGCAGGGCCACATTCCCCACAGGCCCCGCAGGTGTCACGGGTCTTCCAGGCCCCACAGGCCGTATAGTTCCCCCAGGTCGCGCATGTCCCACAAGCCGCGTAAGTCCCACAGGTCCCGCAGGTCCATAGTTCCAACTTGCCCCATAGATCTCACAGGCCCCACATGCCACACAAGTCCCACGGGTCTGCCCCACAGGTCACACAGGGGCAAGCAGATGACACGCGTCCACGGTCCACGGACAGAGGAACAGTCAGCGCAGTGGGAAGGGATGGGAGGTTGGGATGGGATGTCAGATGTGGCGCGAGCGTACCGAGCTTGTTCCCTTCTCTTCTTAGAACTTCTTCCTAAGTTCTCGTCTCATCCTCCGCACTCCTCACCCTCCTCTTGCTCCTCCTCCTCCTCCTCTTCCTCCTCCTCCTCCTCCTTACCATCATCATCATCATCATCCTTCTCCATGTCACGCTGCACACTTTTGGGCGGCGTGAGACTGTCAGTTCTTGTTGCAGCTATCTTGTTTTGCAGCTCAGGCAGAGCACACGAGCACGACCGACCTCGACTTCGTATCACCTTGGTGCAGACTAAGCGGCACAGGCTGTCTGATTGAAGACGGATCAGTGGAGACACCCGCAATGGCGTAAGTACTATTTCTTGCGGCGATGGCACGGGCGTGCGCTGTGGCTCTTCCGCCACGCCCCCACCGACACCCTTACTTCCAACCCCGTCCTCCAACCTCACGGTCGTTCGCCTCGAGGAGGCCGATCTCCCCTCGGTCAGAGCCTCGGGCGCGAGCCTCCTTGCGAACGCCTCGGATGATTCGGCCTCGGAGGCAGGCAGCAGCGCCGCGGACGCTGGGGCAGGCGTGGGCGAACGACGCCCACGCTGGCTCTTGGCCGCTGCCTCAACCTCACCCCACCACTCGTAAGGTCAGTGCGGGCAGCACGGCAGTCCTCCGCCGCCGCCACCACTTCCTCCTCGTCCTCCTCGTCCCCCCCCCTGAGGATGCAGCTCCTGGGAGGTTAATTCTGAATCGGCGCTGGTCCCTGGGCGGAAACTGGTTCAACCGCCGTAGATCTGGCTGGATTCCACTTAGTCCCGCTCAATCCCCGGCTTCATCTGGCCTAATCCGGCTTAGTCGTCCTTCCATCGGGCTCAATCGCCCATAATCTGCCTGGCGAACATCCTCCTCCCCTCCTCCTCCTCCTCTTCCTCCTCCTCCTCCCCCTCCTCCTCCTCTGGCCACTCCTCCTCCTCCTCCTCCTCCTCCTCCTCCTCCTCCTCCTGGATGTTCCCCTCCCCCCCCCTTCCGTCGCCCCCCTGCCGAGGGCTTGGGGATGGCTGGGCTTACCTGTTCTCCCCCCAGGCTCCGCCGCCGAGCCACCGAGCTCGAGCTCCAAGGCTGGGGGGAGAGGGAAAGCAGGAGGAGGCGGAGGAGGAGGCGGAGGAGGAGGCGGAGGAGGCGGAGGAGGAGGAGGAGGCGGAGGAGGAGGAGTAGGAGGAACAGGAGGAGGAACATGAGGAGGAGGAGCAGGAGGAGAAGGAGGAGGAGGAGAAGGAGGAGGAGGAGGGGAAGGGGAAGTTGGAGGAGGAGGAGGAGGAGAAGCAGGACATGGAGGAGGCGGAGGGGGGGTAGGATGAGGAGGATGAGGAGGAGGGGGAGGAGGGGGAGGAGGGGGAGGAGAGGAGGAGGAGGACGATGATGCTGCTGATGATGATGATGCTGATGCTGCTGCTGATGCTGATGCCAATGATGATGCTGCTGATGCTGATGCTGATGATGATTATGGTGATGGTGCTGAGGATGATGATGGTTACGCCGATGATGCTGATGCTGATGCTGATGCTGATGATGCTGCTGCTGATGATGATGCTAAGGATGACGACGATGCTGATGATGATGATGATGATGATGATGATGATGCTGATGATGATGATGAGGATGAGGATGAGGATGAGGATGAGGATGAGGATGATGATGATGCTGATGATGATGATGATGGTGATGATGATGATGATGGTGATGACGATGACGCAGATGCTGCTGCTGGTGATGATGCTGATGATGCTGATGGCGACGATGATGATGATGCGGATGATGCTGATGATGATGGTGACGCTGATGCGGAGTATGATGATGACGATGCTGATGATGATGACAATGTTGATGATGATGGTGATGCTGATGCTTATGTTGATGATGAAGATGATGTTGATCATGGTGATGATGATGCTGATGATGACACTGATGATGATGATGATGAGGCTGATGCTGATGCTGCGTCTGCTGATGCTGCTGATGATGCTGATGATGATGACGACGATGCTGCTGCTGATACTGATGATGCGGATGCTGATGATGATGATGCTGAGGATGCTGGTGCTGGTGATGCTGCTGCTGCTGATGATGATGATGATGATGATGCTGATGCTGATGCTGATGATGATGCTGATGCTGATGCTGATGATGATGATGATGATGGTGATGATAATGATGATGATGATGATGATGATGATGATGATGATGATGATGATGATGATGATGATGATGATGATGATGACGTTGATGATGATGTTAATCAGGAGGAGGAGGAGCAGGAGTGCCTGGATGAGGAGGCGACGGAGGAGAAGGAGGAGGAGGAGGAGACGGAGCAGGAGGAGGGGTAGGATGAGACGGAGGAGGAGGAAGAAGATCAAGTGGATTTTGATGATGATGCTGATGATGCTGATGACGATGATGCTGCTGATGATGATGATGATGATGATGATGATGATGATGATGCCGATGCTGCTGATGATGCTGATGACGATGATGCTGACGATGCTACTGATGCTGATGCTGATGATGATGGCGATGCTGATTATGACCATGGTGTTGATGAAGCTAATGCTGACGCCGATGATGATGATGCTCATGCTGATGATGATGATGATAATGATGATGATGATGATGATTTTGATGCTGATGATGCTGCTGATGATGCTGATGATGACGATGCTGATGATGATGCTGATGGTGATGACGATGATGGCGATGATGACGGTGATGATGCTGCTGCTGATGATGATACTGCTGATGGTGATGATGATGCCGGTGCTGATGATGATGGTGCTGCTGTTGATGACGATGATGTTGTTTCTGATGATGATGTTGCTGATGAGGATGCTGACGATGCTGATGGTGCTGCTGTTGCTGACGATGCTGTTGATGCTGATGATGATGCTGATTATGTTGATGATGCTGTTGCTGATGATGATGCTGATGATGATGATGATGATGATGGTGCTGATGGTGGTGCTGATGATGATGAGGATGATGATGATGCTGATGATGGTGATGATGATGCTGCTGGTGATGATGCTGCTGCTGATGATGATGCTGATGCTGATGCTGATGGTGATGATGATGATGATGATGATGATGATGATGATGATGATGATGATGATGATGATGATGATGATGACGAAGATGCGGATTTTGGTGGTGATGCTGCTGGTGGTGGTAGTGATGCTGCTGCTGCGGAGGAGAAGGAGGAGGAGGTGGATGAGGAGGAGGCGGAGGATGAGGAAGGAGGAGAATTAGGAGGAGCAGGAGGAAGGAGAGGAGGCGGAGGAGGAGGAGGAGGCGGAGAAGGAGGAGGAAGAGCAAGGGGAGGGGAAGGGGGAGGATGAGGAGGATGCGGAGGAGGAGGAGGAAGAGGAGGAGGAGGATGAGGAGGCGGAGGAGGAGGAGGAGGAGTATAGGGAGGATGAGGAGGATGAGGATGATGATGATGATGATGAGGAGAGGAGGAGGAGGAGGAGGAGGAGGAGGAGGAGGCGAACTATGGGGGGAGGAGAGAGGAGGAGGGAGGAGGAGGAGGAGGAGGAGGAGGAGGAGAGGAGGAGGAGAGGAGGAGGAGGAAGACGATGATGATGAGGAGGAGGAGGAGGAGGAGGAGGAGGAGGATGAGGAGGATGAGGAGGCGGAGGAGGATGAGAGGAGGAGGAGGAGGTGGAGGAGGAGGATGAGGAGGCGGATGAGGATGATAACGAGGAGGAGGAGGAGAAGGCGGAGTAGGATGAGGCGGAGGAGGAGTATAAGGCGGTGAAGGCGGATGATGATGGTGATGGGGAGGAGGAGGATGGTACTAATGGTCAGGAGAAGGGGGGAGGAGGAGGAGGAGGAGGAGGAGCAGGACGAGGAGGAGGAGGAAGAGGAATAGGAGTAGGAGGAGGAAGAGGAAGCTGAGGAATAGCGTGGAAGCGGAGGGTGAGGAGGATGAGGAGCAGGATGAGGGATGCGCAGCAGGAAGCTTAGACGGAGGATGATGACGAGGCGAAGGATGATGAGGATGGGGAGGAGGAGGAGGAGGAGGAGGAGGAGGAGGGAGGATGGAGGGGAGGCGGCGGAGGAGGATGAGGACGAGGCGGCGGAGGAGGAGGTGGAGGAGGAGGAGGAAGAGGAACAATGCTGATGATGATGATGATGATGATGATGATGATGATGATGATGATGATGATGATGATGGTGATGGTGATGATGATGATGGGATGATGATGATGATGAGAGAGGAGGAGGAGGAGGAGGAGAGGAGGAGAGAGGGAGAGAGGAGGAGGAGGAGGAGGAGGAGGATGAGGATGAGGAGGAGGGAGGAGGAGGAGGAGGAGGAGGGGGGGGAGGGGGATGGAGAGGAGGAGGGTGAGGAAGATGAGGAGGGTGACGCTGCTGCTGCTGATACTGATGATGGTGAGGAGGAGGAGGCGGGAGGAAGGTGAGGCGGGGGAGGAGGATGTGGAGGAGGAAGAGGCGGAAAGGGATGGGGTGGAGGATGACTAGGGGGATGAGGAGCGGGAGGAGGAAAATGATGCGGACGAGTAGGAGGTGAAGGAGGCGGAGGAGGAGGATGTGGAAGAGGAGGGGGAGAAGGGGGATGACGCGAAGGATGAGGACGAGGCGGATGATGATGAGGATGAGGAGTAGGCTGAGGACCAGCAGGAGGAGGAGGAAGAGGAGGAGGAGGGCGATACGGAGAGAGGGGGGAGGCCGAGAAAGGGGGGGAGCAGCAGGGGGAGGAGCAGGACGAGGAGGAGGAGGAGACATAGGAGGATGACGAGGTGGAGGATGATGAGGATGAGGAGGCGGAGGAGGAGGAGGCGCAGGCGGAGGGAGGATACGGATGAAGAGGAGGAGGAGAATGAGGAGGCGGAGGAGGAGGAACGATGAGGAGGAGGAGGAAGACGAGGAGGAGGAGGATGAGGAGGAGGAGGAGGAGGAGGAGGAGGATGGGAGGAGGAGGATGAGGAGGAGGAGGAGGAGGGGAGGAGGAGGAGGAGGAGGAGGAGGAGGAGAGGAGGAGGAGGAGGAGGGGGCGGACGGGGGAGACGATCGAGGAATGTGGGGAGCAGATCGCGAGTGGGGGGCAGCATCTAGAGGGCGGCGGGGATGGGAATGGGGAGGGGGAATCTGAGGAGTCTGGCTCCAGTGGAGGTGCTCGCATGGCGGCGCCGCTCCCGCTTCGGCACACCCATCACACCAATCGTGCCCCCAGATGGAGCTCCACTTACATGTCCAGTGAAGGTATTCGCATGGCGGCGCCACGCCCATTTGCGCACCTCTCTCGCGCGGATCGTGGCCCAATACGGGGCTCAGCGTGCGGCTCCAGTGGAGGTATTCTCATGGCGGCGTCGCCCCCGATTCGTCACACCCATCACGCCGATCTTCCCCATACGGGGCTCCATTAACATCCCCAGCGGAGTTCTTCGTATGGCGGCGCCGCGCTCATTTCGACACCCCTCATGCGAATCGTGCCCCCATTGCGGCGCCGCGCTCATTTCGGCACACTCCTCACGTACATCGTGCGCCATAGGGAGTTCTCCGCCTGAGCTTCTAGCGGGGGGCGCTCGCATGGGCGCTCATTTCGGCACATCCCTCATGCGGACCGTGTCCTGGCGGCGCCGTGCCCATTTCTGCACACCCCTTACGCGGATCGCGCCCTATAATGGGGGCTCAAACAATGGCCTCTGTGGGGGGTACTCCGGGCACTCGCATTTTGGCGCTGCGCCCATGTCAGCACACCGACGAGGCCGATGATTATGATGGCAAGGCGGCTGACGATGCTGACGATGATGATGGTCATGGTGAGGGCGATGGCGGTGATGATGGCGATGTTGCAACTGCAGCTGTTTCTGATAGTGGTGGTAAGGATGATGATGATGATGATGATGATGATGATGATGATGATGATGATGATAAGGATGGTGATGATGATGCTGTTGCTGCTGCTGATGATGATGAGGATGATGATGATGATGATGCTGATGATGATGTTGATGCTGATGATGATGATGATGCTGCTGATGATGATGATGATGATGTTGATGATCATGATGATGATGATGATGATGATGATGATGATGATGATGATGATGATGATGATGATGATGCTGCTGATGATGATGATGAGGAGGCGGATGAGGATGATGATGCTGATGATGATGATGATGATGATGATGATGCTGATGATGATGATGATGATGATGATGATGATGATGATGGTGATGCTGGTCATGCTGATGATCATGATGATGCTGATGATGAGGATGATGCGGATGATGAGGATGTGGACGAAGACGTGGATGCTTTTTGAGGATGATGCTGATGCTGATGCTTATGTTTCTGAGTTTGATGATGCTGCCGATGATAACTATGATTGAGAGGAGGGGGTTATGAGGAGGGGGCAAGATTTAGGAGGAGGAGGACGAGCAAGGTGGAGGAGGAGGAGGAGGACGAGGAGGAAGAGGAGGAGCTGCAGCAGGGGAAGGGAGGGAGGGGGAGGAAGCAGCAGCAGTTACAGGGGCAGGGCGGGTGCGAGGGACGGCTCGTCGGATTGCGGCTCGGAGCCCCTCGAAGGCGGGCCAGGCCGCCTTGGCGGGCGGACTGATCGTCTTCGACGCACTCCTCAAGGCTGGTGGTCGTCGTCTCTGTCGGCGGCGACGGCGGCGGCGGCGGAGGCAGCGGCGGCGTCGCCGTCGTCGTCGCCGTCGTCTTCGTCGTCGTCGTGATCGAAGATCTCGAGGATGGAGGTTTCGGGAAGTTCTTCGCAGTGTCGGGCTTCCAAAGGCCTTCAGGTGCCCCCTGGGGAGGCCTCCAGGGACCGTCGCCGTCGTCGACGTAGTCAGCCCTGGATCCCCTTGCGTCGTGCACAGTTCACAACCAGTTTCTTTGAATCTGTGCATCTATCGACGCACGTACACGCAAGCACACCTGTTTATCACCACGTGTACGGGGCCCACCTGAGCCAGGAGCAAGGGGGGCCCGATGGACTGGCAACAGCCTAGGGATACAAAGTCAGAGCACCAGCGCACGATCGTAACAATAACAGACGATGATCCCCTTTTTCCAGCAAGGGCGGCAGTGCGGGTCGTCCGGCCCAGAGTTACTTCATAAGCTGGTGTGCACGGGGATCTCGAAGTCCCCCCAAAAGTGAGGTCCACGGTATCTGACTTGCAGGGCCCCCACTCCGTGGGGCCACATCAAAAACACGCAACACAGAAGCTGATCCCCCCGCCAGGGGTGGGTGGGTGGAAACTTAACGCACACGAGGGAGAGAGAGAGAGAGAGAGAGTGAGGGAGAGAGAAAGGGGCGGCCCAGGAAGGGTGGTACTATGCAGATAAAAGTGCGTTTTGAAATCGTATAATTGCTCGCAAGCTGTACGGGGCCCACCTGAGCCAGGAGCAAGGGTGGTCCGACGGACTGGCAACAGCCTGAGAACAAAAGCCAGAGCACCAGAACACGATCGTAACCATCACAGGCGATGATCCCCTCTTTCCAGCAAGGGCGGCAGTGCGGGTCGTCCGGCCCAGAGTTACTTCATAAGCTGGTGTGCACGGGGATCTCGAAGTCCCCCAAAAAGTGATTCGATTGCACAGGCATGACGAATTATACAAAACTACCTCGCGCTCTTGCGTCTGTTCGAGGCTTTCAGTCCTGAAACTGGGCGGCCCGCCTCCGACTTCACAGCGTTGCTCGAGCTCGCGCCCAGGTCCACCGCGTCGTTCCTGGTCCCCTCCTAGCGCCTGCACGAGGCGCTTGACGAACGTGGTGTTGGCTGCAGGCGAGGAACTCAAAACATCCGACATCGCCCTTCCAGGAAGTGCCCAGAACGCTTCGCCGTCCGAAAGTTGTTGAGGCTGGAGCTCGGCACGGCGACGTATGAACACATGGGTCTTGGTATATAGTTGGAGGGTCGAAGTGGTATTCCACCTACCACGGCATCGAGCATAATCCAAATCTCCATTGTTGGCAACGTAGTGCGCAACACCTGCATGTCGTATGCCACGCGGTGGTCCCATGTGGGTCAGGTTCATCTGTTTGTGGTAGGAGGAAGCCCCTGCTCAATCTGTTTGTGGCAAGAGGAAGTCCCTGCTCGTCGGAGTTCAAGCCCTCGACCATTGCTCGCAACATGCGCTTGGGGATCGCAAGCTCTATGCGCACTCCATGGCCCGCGCCTGCCTTGACCTTCTCTCCTCTTGAGCGTTCTCCCAGGGTAAGTGCCACGTCGCCACAGTTATCAAACGATATGCCTGCACGCTTGGGAATTGATCAGTCATGTTCACGAAGCCACCCGTCAAGTTGAACAACTGCTACACATGCTTCATGAGTTGCTCCCATACTGCGCAGCTGTAGTATTATCAGTCCCGTGGCTTGAAATCGGATGGGTTCTCCTTCGCCTATCGCCTGCTGCCTTTCCCATGCCTTCAGAGCCATCGCCGATACCTGTAAGAAGTTCGGATGATCCTCGGAGATATGCATGAAACCGTTGATCATATATGAACCTCTCGAAGAGCCCAAATCCCTGGCGTAGCACATGTCCGGCACATATGAAGCTAATTCGCGTCGCGATGTCTATCATGGACAGTTGAGTCGGGCATTACGCTTGGTATTTACTAAAAACTCCCGCAGTGCCCGCTCATACCCTCTGTTGGTCACATCGACAGCACGCAATGTGAGTCGGTTGTTGTACAGCAGCGGCTGGCCCTTGGCATTGCCCCATGCAAGAGCCTGAATATTGCCTCACGCCACCGACGCCATGCACGCACAGGAGGCCAATAATCAGGTACCACCGAGGCCGGCAGTAATCACCTCCACCGGCGTAGATCAGGTCCTGGCTGCACATGATCTCGCACTCCATGGCAGCACAGTTGTTGCAGTCGAATGGTATCGTCACGATCCTTGTGTGCGTCCTCACTCCCGCAGGCCTCGTACCCGCATGGGGTCGCTTGCTGGGAGATCGGGGCGCCCTCGCTTAAAGACCAGAAGACCTGGCCCTCGATGTAGTATGTGCAGTCGCAGTCGTTGGCGTCGCCGCCGTCATCAAGGTCGTCGCCCTGCTCGCCGAGTCGAGGAAAGACCTCGCTGCCTTCGGCGTATACCTCCAGCGATGCTCCTCCTTGGTCGCCTCGGCTGCTCCCAGTGGTAGCCCCCGGTTGGGCCCGTCGGCGACGTTGTCCTCCAACGCCGCCCAGCGCAGCGCAAGCTTGATGCGGCGCGCGAGCAGCGCGGCCGACGCCTGTCTCGCAAAGTGCACGAGCCCCGCCGCCGACGACCTCCCCTGCGCCAGCACCCCCATGGAGACCAGCGAGTCGCTGAAAACCAAAATCCGTCTTCGCCACATCCTCGTAGACCTCGAAGCGTGTCCGAGCAGGCCGACGATGGTCTGCAACTCGAGGATGTCGTTGTGCTCGTCCTCCTCCCACTTCCCCGAGTAAAGCGGTAACCGCCTCTCCTGGCTCGTCCAGCTGCGTCCTGCGGCTCGCGCTTGTCCGCGCGCCTTCACCGCCTGCGGCCTGCCCGCCCCGCGCCTCGCCTCCAGGCGGGAGGCTCCAGTCTGGCTCGACCCCCCTGCAGACCTGGCCGTACTTGTTCAGAAAGTGCGGGTCGAATTCGAAAGAGGTCCAGTCGGCGCCGACCAGGTCCCTCGTGACGTCTGCCCCGCTGGCCAGCTCGCAGAAAGACTCCTCGTTGGTAATGATGCTGATCTTCTGGTTCCCCATCTTCGCCTCGAAGCTGAAGGTCCCTTGGCGTTCCCGAAGCTGCCCCCCAGTCGTCCCCGCCCTGGATCTCCAGCAAGAGCAGCACGTGTGACAGCCCCAACGTGTCACGCAGTTTGGCCACCGCCAGACACAGAGACCTGGTGAGCCGCGAACGAGACGGCATCAGATGCACAAGCCACCACCGCCGACGCCTCAACCTGGAGAACAACCTCTCGAGGTCGCTGATGTCGTAGATGTCGTAGCCGGCCCCCCTCATGAAGCTGCTGGACACACGCCGGGGCGACGTCGAAGCTCGCAGCGCGGGCGTGGCGCGAGCAACTCCAGCGGTGAGCTCCACGACCCCAGGACGCCCGGGTGCAGGCGCGATGTTCTCGTCGCCTCCCTCCCTGGCCTTCGCGACCTCCTCCTCGATGTCCTCGAAAGACTCCGTCGCTCGCACTGCCCGCGTCTGTGGCTCCCCCTTCGCCGTCTCCCCCCTGCCCTCTTCGCTCGTCGTTGGCGTCTGGACCACCCCGTAGCCGTGCTCCGAAGCGTCCGTCATGAAGGCCTTGGCGAGCCACTCCATCTCCAGGTCCGACTCGATGTAGACCGAGAGCGAGGCGAGGCAGATAAGCTCGGAGATGACCCTCTGGGGGAGTGTCCTCACGTCGTCGGTCGGGCCCTCCACCTCCCTCAACCGCGCGTAGACCGCTTCCAGGCCAGCAAACCCAGGCCTCGTGAACATCAGGACCCACGTCCACAACCCCAGAAGCGATGCTGATGTCGAGGGACGGCAAGACCCAACACATATGAGCGCTTCGGTCGCCAAAACGATCTCTCTCTCTCTCTCATTCTGCCCTCGTGGACGATGACGCGGTGGGGCCTGCCGACAATCGATGGGCCCAAATCTTTCCCGAGCCCAGGTCCCCACGTCTCCTTGTGGACCGCCAGCCCCGTCCCGACGAGGATCGTCTTGCTCATTTCCTAGTCGATCTGCACCTGCTCGGAGCCCTGGTCGTGGAGCCTCAAGCCGATGGACTCGTCGATGCACAGCAGCAGCAGCAGTAGGTCGCAGTTCACAAACGACGGCACGCCCAGCCCGTGCGCAAGCTGCCCCGACCTGAGCGGGCTGATACCTTGCAGCGAGTCGGACAGGCACGAGTGGGCCAAAAAAGACGGCCCAATAGTGACCCGTCACGGGCGCGATCGCCCCCACCCCTACGTCGTCGGCGTCGGGCTTGGGTACCTGCACCCCCTGCTCCATCGCGCACTCCCACAGCTCGCTCGGGGACAGCAGCTCCGGCGTGCAGTGCGCCGCGAGCTCCTTCGGCTATCGAAGTCGGTGGAACCAATTTGGGATGTTCCCCGAGAGAATCATCAGCTCCTGGTCCTTCAGCACCTCCTGCGACAGGTCCAGTGAGGCGAGCGCGCTCGGCGACCCCAAGCCCGTCCACGGTGGCTTCCTGACGCGCAGGTTGAGGCGGCGGCAATCCCAGACCAGCCTCGACTTCTCTTCCTTGCTCGGGGACCCCTTCCACCATCGACTTGACCACCGTGAAGATGCCCACCTTCTCCTTCGCCTCCTTGGTGTAGGCCAGCATCCCCGCGCGCCACATCTTGAGCGCCAGTTTCTTTCGATCGGTGCTCAGCTTCCACCCTGCATCGGTGGAGTTCGACGTGGCCTCGTACTTCACCCAGTCGACCTCGTCGTGCATCCACAGCATCAGCCCCTCCACGTCGCTCAGAAACACCTTGCCACTCTCTCTCTCTCTCTCTCTCTCTCTTTCTCTCTCTTTCACATTCGCCTTCTCGCGTCCACTCAACCCTCCACCCGGGCGGCTGAGAACCGCCCTGCCATCGGCGATGTCCCCCCAGCTGGCTCTCTGCGCGAGGCTCGCCCACAAATCCTTCACGATCCGGACCTGGATCGG